TGTTTCTCAATAAAATTATGGAAAAAAAAAATGAAAGAAACTGGGTATGGTGGTGCGCGCCTGTAATCCCAGCTCTTGGGAGGCTATAAACAGGTGGATCACTATGAGTCCTATCTAGTAGTGAGACCCTGAAAACCCTGTAGACCCTTCCCTAAAATACACACACACACACACACACACACACACACGAAACAAAAGCACAAACTATTTGCAGGCTAGCATCCTTTTAAATTTCCAGTGTAAATAATATTTGCCCTCACAGGAAGCTACTGAGGAGGCTACTACGCGTGGTTAAGATACTACTTCAGCTCGCAGAGCAGAGCTGTGTGCATGAGTCAGGAATCCTTGTAGCAGCGCAGCAAAGTATTTGACTGCATGGATAGAAAGCTGCTGCCGCCGGAGCATGTGGACATAGGACTTGGCTTGGAAAATGGCAATGTAACTAATAAAATAATTGACTTACCATAATATAGGCATTTTTGTTTAAAAATTTGATCAGTTTTTCCAAACACCAGAAACAGCATATCAGGCAGCATTTTATGAATTTAGAGACGACGTTCTCGGCCTCTATAAGAAGCAAATGTTTAAATGTACATTGGCATTCTTTGGGGTACAGTTCGGGGCTCTGAGCACAGTTGCAGTACTGTGCTCTCTCCATCTTCAGAACTTCAGGTCACGTCGAGGAGAAGCCCTATAACTGGCCCCCACCCACCCCCAGCCCTCCCACAGCCTCTCGGGAGGGCTGGGGGTGGGTGGGGGCCAGTTATAGGGCTTCTGTCTGCTACCCTTTCTGTCCGTATGAATCTGCCTCTTTCAGGGCACCTCCCAAGCGAGTAGTATACAGTGAGTTCTTTTGCATCATGCTCATTTCACTGGGCTTCATGTTTTCAAGGCTCATCATTTCATTCCTTTGTAAGACTACTATTCCTTCCATTCTATGTTTATAACACATGTGCTTTTCCATTCAACTTTTTGTATTTGGTACAGGGTCTTGCTAGGTAGGATCACAGTGATCCTCCTGTTTCAGCCTCCCCAGTGCTGGGATTATAGTGGTGTACCACCATGCCCAGTTTCAGTGGCAGACTGGGGGGTGGTGTGCGGCGTAGGGCTTGCATAGCATGCAGTACTGGGGATCCAACTTGGGTCCTTGTGCTTCCAGGCAGGCGCTTAGACCTCCAAGCTATCTCCCCAGACCCTTGTTGGCCATTTCTATACTGTAAATCATCTTTGCAGAATTTTGAACTGAAATCTTTGCCATGATGTTTTTTGTTCTTGAGTGCAGATGTTCTTTATTGATCCTTCATCTGGTATTTTCAGATATTTCCTTCCTCCTCTCTCCCCTTCCCTGTCCTCTCATCTTCCTCTCTCTCTCTCTCTCTCTCTCTCTCTCTCTCTCTCTCTCTCTCTCTCTCATCTTTTGATTTGATGCCCAAATGCTTTTAATTTTGACACAGTTCAATTTATTTTTCCTTTTATTTCTTATGCTTTTAATGTGATAGCTAAGAAATCTATACCAAATCCAATGTCATAAAGCTTTTACCTGTGCTCTCTCATAGGGGTCTCATAGTATTACCCGCTATGTTTCCATTTTTGACACATTTTGAGTTAATTTTAATTTAATTTATTGTAAGAGTCCGGATTTTTCATCTAAAATGACTGATCTTTTCACATCAAATCATCTTATACGTAAGGGTTTATTTTGGGTTCTGTTCTAGATCTATTGGTCTGTCTACACCAATATCACACTGTTTTGATTACTGCAACTTTGTAATAAATTTGGAAATTAGAAAGTGTTGATCCTTCAACTTTGATTTTTCCTTCAAGGTAGTTTTGGCTATCTTATAAGGCACATCACAAGCAGAGCTTATGTGTTGGTAAACTATCTGTCTCATCAAGAAGACTTCTGGCAAAGACACCCACATTTATACTTTACTATCATGACTGACCTGAGCTCTAGCCGTGGAGGTGCCTACCAGGAATCTCCACTACACTTCTACAATAACATATCAAGGCAGAAATCTTAACCTCTTGTCTGAAATTTGTTTTTCCCAGCTTCTATATCTTAATATTTAAGATCACACCACTTTTATCTTTTCCCGCACCATTTAGAGCCCTCAGCTCTTCACCACCCACCCCAACTGATTCTCTTTGCATAAGCGTGAAAGTCTGAGATACATTCCGAAGCCTTACTTTTAAGACGTCTGTCCAAGTATTCTAGGATCACTTTAAACGTTTGAATTAATGCAAGAATTAATGATCCAAATGCTAGGGATCCTGTGTGATATCTAGGCAAAGATCAAATGAGAACAAAAGTTAAAATATCATTACTGTTAATTAACAGGTTGCTAGTTGAACGGTTTTCAGGTAAAGAGGATCATCAGAAGATCTTACTCAAATTTATAAAAGTCTCCATAAATGGTTTTAAGTCATACGCATCTGTCATATCCTTTATTTATCAGTAGTGTTTTCATTAATTAGCATGCTTGACCTGATCAATGGAGATACAGAGCCAAATTAATCCTTAGTCTTTCACTTGATGTTCTCTTCTACTCATTCCGATCTCTAGTAACCCACTGGTTTGGAAAGGTTTTAAAACTGTAGCTTTGAAACCAGATAGGCCATTGAGTATTCTTGAATCTTGAATCATTTTTTAGACCTCATATGTAATTTACCACTTGAATTAACTAGCCCAGACTGAATTACAAGCACACTAAACACAGAGGAGGACACAGGTGTAGAGTTTAACATGAAGCTTACCGTACTGCTTGTCCAAATGCAGTGAAAAGGGGAAGCCTCGGAATGTCATCAGGTTTTTTCATAGCCCAGTAGTAACTAGCAAAGGCACCAGCAAGGGTGCACTGAGCCAATGCAAGGACAAAGTTTACAAGCCAGAGAAAGAGAAATAGATTGTACAGATGCAAGGTAGTTATGTACTGATGGTACAGACTTTTTCCACCATAGAAAGCGAAGTTACAGAGAGCCCCCGGGCATGTTTTGGGCACATCCGTTGTATTAAAAATCTGTGGTCAGAAAAGATCAATGTGAGAGTATTATATGTCATTCCAAGAAAATAACTCACTGCCTTTTCCTCTTCCATAGTTTGCTTTCGTTTCTCCCTTAGCTTTTACTGCTCCTCTTCTATCTGCTAGCAGATTGAATTAAATCATTCTTTAATAAACTCTAGAAAGCATCTAATTTTCAATGCTCATCAGTCAGAAGCCACTATATTTCATATTTGGCTGTGTTTTCATCAGCCATAGCAATGTCTGACAGTTCAAGAAATCCTAGCAACTCATACTTTCTCTCAGTTCCGCCCACCAATTTCAATGCTCTCCCGCTATCACGTGACCAAGTCTCCCTTTCTGTACAAAATTAACCTTCCAGAGGTGAATAAGAGCTCTGTGTTACTGTTACTTCCACAGTTGCAAATGAAATACAGTAGAATTCTGTACTTCAGTAAGTACAGAATTTCTGCAGCAAGTTTCTTTTCCTTACCATTGGGTCACAGGTTTCATTTTCATGTGTACATTGCCCCTCTGGGGCTGAAACTTTGTAAACAGGCACCCCTGATGTAGCCAAGGAACTGAATAAGCTCTGTTAAGGATGATTTCCTGGTATATGGAAAATAGACAAGACAATAATGTAGCTAACTCTAAAGTTCATGGTTAAATTAACCCCCCAAATCACCTAATACTGTATTTTAATAAGTCAGCCATCTATCAGGCCTAGATCAAGATAACCTCGGCCAGATGCATGGAGTAGCCTGCAAGACAGTCAAAGCCTTCAAGAGGTTTCTTGAACACAAAATATATGAACACAAAATAAAGTGAGCAAATCTACCACATGACCTTTGGTGGAAGGAATTAAATCAGTAGACTACAGCTCTTTTATGACCTTGAGAAAAATTCAGTTCTTTCTTCTGGATATTTCTCAATCTTCTGAGGGAGAGAAACACATGGACATCAACTCTAGGTTTCTACATAGATATGTGCATGTGAGGTGTAAAGAGATAAATCACCAAAGGATACACTGCTGTCACGATCCAGTAGGCAAAACAGATGGAGAGCAAGATGAAAGTTAAAACTGGATAAACTAAGGTGCTAGGGAGGTATGCAATGGCTCTGAAATAAAGCAGGACATGTTCATTGGTCTCTGGTGCACATAGAGTGACGAGCATTTACTTTTGTCTGATACAACTTAACTCATTTTCCTCGCAAAGTATTAGAAAGTCTTTCTTATCTGCCTATTTGTAACTTGCATGCACTAATTTGTGGGCAAGAAACGATCTTCTGAGCACCATCTGTCTTCTCAGAGCAAGTCTTCCAGTAATTCCTTATCTTTGTTCTCCCAGATAATCATCTCTTGATATTTCCTCATAAGATGTGTAATGTTCCCCAGCTTAGCTATTCTAACTTCTTCTTTTAAATGATTATTTCAGCACATGACAGTGGATTAAGCAACAATATTTGATATAACTAATGAAAACTACTATGGAACTCTCAGGACCTTGCACTTGCCAGGCAAGCACTTATCCCACTGAGCTATCTCCCCGGCCCTTATTTTGTATTCTTATATCCATTTCTTCTAGTCCTTATTTTCTCCTGAACCAGCTATTGGCCTCTCACAGTTGTGCTGGCTGTTTATCACACACCCCCACCCCCACACCCCCACCCCCACACAAACACACACACATACATTCATGTGCACACACACATTTAGGGTCTGGAAAAGTGGGGGAGGTAACAGTGAACTGCACAATAACATACTATTTAAGAAATAAACCCAGAAAATCAGTAGTTTTGAGTGGATAATGATAGGGTCACAGTTATTGTGGGAAAAAGAGAGAGTTTAACAAACTGCTTGTTAACTGTCTAAACCACTGGCTTCAGGGGGCACCGTTATTACAATAATAATATGGCAATCTTGTTAAAATAGTCCTTAAGGATGATTAAAAATAATTCAGCTCTTGGTCCTTAACAACTTAGTCTCCATCATTCTAAGTAGAAAGTATGGCTCTGACTTTATAGGCACGGATATGTTCCTTGTCTTCCATACATGATTAACACATACCAACCTCACGTGACCTTTTGAAGTAAATTGGAAACTACAGGTGTTACTGCTTCTCAATACCAATTATAGGTGTAACTGCCTCTCAATATGAATTTCATAAAAGGCTGAATGATTATTTCATAACACCGTAAATAAAAACGCCTGCAGGTATTAAGTGTTACCAAATTGCGAACTTTATACAGAAAATATATAGCCTGGTACCCCGAGAATAAATCATGCCATTAGTAATTGTCCCCCTTGTAGAAAAATGATAATAGCTCTTAACTGACTTCATAGAATTATGATGATTTCAATCTTTATAAACTACTCATTAATATTAACACACATCCTACTCTGGAAATAATATAATCTACAATGTACTAATTTAATAGAAAATTTGGTTTACTTTTATATATACAGCTTGCTGTTCAAAACTTTTAATACATACACTAGATGGATTTTACCACGTGACAACTGAGGTCTGAGAATACAAAAGGACTTGGTAGTGATGACCTTTCTAGTAAGAATCTGAACTTGACCAAGTCTTCTTGAATGGAAAGTAGTTTTCTCAAGGGGACAAGGGGGCAGGCATCTAGGCAACGCGGTGGCTGACTTCACGGGTGGATACGCACAGTCTGAGTCCCTAGTCAAGGGCCTTACTTGCTCCCTTCCTTCAGCAGGACAATGGCCAAACGAATCTGTTTCCTGAGGAAGACCAGCAAGAGGATGATGGTCACTTCAAGGATGCAGAGTGTTATCACTTTGAAGAGGAAACAAAAATTAGTCTGTGATGCCAATCAATTCAAAAGTACCAAACTTTCTCTGCAAACATTAGGAAAGGGCTGTATGATTATTTCTGTGAATTGCAATACCTCATAATTCAAGCAGTACTACCTGCCTAAAATGCTGGTCTTAGGAAGTCATTTTTGACTCCTCCAAGAAACACTAAGAAATCCAGATGAAAACTGGTAACTAGCACTTGAACAACCCAATGGAGCAGGCTTCATTCATTCCTGAAAGCATTTCAGAGCACTTGTATAAACTGGGCATGGAAGCAATGAAGGAAGGGCCACCCCAGCCCGTGCTATTTCAGATGTGCTCACTGTTAGTCTCCTTGAGTAAGAAACCATGACAGAAGCCATTTTCAGCTGTCCACCTTGAGATCAGTGCCTTACTTGTCCTTGCTAACTGAGGGCAGGCTCTTGGCTGCCAGGTTGTTGTTCTGTGATCACCAGTTGATAGAATCAGGGTATAAACCCAACTCAATATGGCCAATGCCAAGGTTTGGGCCTCTAGTTCAGTTCTGAGATCTTACAGATTTGAGGGCTTAATAAACAATGAACAGTGTCAAAATTCATGAAGCAAGTGAGTCTGCAAAGAACAAAATGTGTGTGTATAAAAAAGTAAAAGAAAATCTTGGGTTCTTGTGGACTTGTCTTTAGAATCTGCTTAAAATTGCATGCTCACCTGCTTTTTTACATTTTTAGATTCTGATGAGCCATTTCTATACTTTTTTTAAATAAAAAGTCCTGTTCTCAGTCCTGTTCCAGTCATTTCCCTTCAGCTGCTAGCTGAGTTAGTTTTCTTTAACTTGATGACATACAGACTTCTTGGATTCTGTCAATTTCAACACATACTAATTTAGTAACGAATTTTTAGGAAAAATAAAGAAACCTTCCATTTGATGTCTATTTAGCAATTTTGTGATGCATTCTGATTTCAGAAATGTTAAAAAGTGGAAAATATGGATCTTAAAAAAATATGACATTGCTTAAAACAGATCCTGAAAATCTAAAAAAAACCCAAACAAACAAACAAAAAGCCTCAAACTTCATGGAAACTTGAATTTCTACCTGTGAGGCAATTCCTTATATAATCACCTTGTTAGATAGTTACTCATTTTGTGTTTGGATACTTGCAGTGATGGAGAGCTCATTATTTAGTTCTATGGCTATTGTAGTAAGATTCTCTTCTTGTATCACACATCACATAATATCTCCAAGCGAGCACAGATCAGTCAATCCAGACAGGTGAGAGGAATTTAATGATGTACCATCTTGCTTGTACATCTTCTTTTAATTAAACTATGACTTTTTTATTAGTAGATATTTATAGTACACACAGTTGATAATCACCTCGGGGAGAGGGTCTATGCATTTGTTTCTTTAATTCCCTTCTCCCCTCTTCTTCCTCTTTCCTCCTTTATTTTCATTTCTCCATTTTCATTCTTGTTGCTATTATTATTTTTAAAAATCTATTATTTATTTATTTATCTACATATTTATTTGGTACAGGGTCTTGCTATACTCATAGCTTAGACTCATAGTGACCCTCCTGTGTCAGCCTCTCCATCACTGGGATTACAGGTATGCGACACCATGCCCAGTTTTGGTGGCCAGCACAGCGCACCTGGTATTCCAGGGCCGGCATACCATGTGGTACTGGGGACCAAACTTGGGTCCTTGCACTTGCTAGACAGGCACTTACACTGCCAAGCTACCTCCTCAGCCCTTTTGTTGATATTATTGTTAGTTCATGTTGTGGTAGATAATGTTCACCTTCATCATGGTTTTTAGATTCATGTGCATGGGATATCTTTTCTACTTAATTTTCCTTCTCCTCTCCCACATTCTAGTTCTCTAAAACACTAATTTGAGCCTTAACTTATGGGATGTAGTCATATTATGCTAATTCTTATCTTTGAATGAATTTAAGAATATGAAATATATCAGAATCGCTATGTATTATGACACTTCATTGTTAAAAGATACTGCATACTAAGCTTAAACCTTTAAAAAGTGATATATTAATATGGCATCATTAGAGAAATGTAAATGTCCTTTGATTCTATAGATTACAAACCCTCTTGTGTTTAATTTGAGAAAATAATAGGAATGTATTTGGTATCTTATAAAGAAGACAGTATTATGCCATTATTTATTAGAGACTAGACTAAGATTTGTTGGCTAAAATATTTACCCAAGTTCACAAAGTCACTTATGGCAGAGAGAAGCCTTGAACTATCTCCTAACACAACCAAGAAGTCATAAAATGGCAATATTTTGTATGTGTGATATGGTGTATTTTCATTGTTTCCATCAATAAGTATGATTTTCATTCCTTTGGCTTTGATATCAGCAATTTTGTCCAGACTCAGAGAAAGACACCAATGAATGTCTGACAGATAGGTTTATGAAGCCCCAGGCTCATCTGCAAAGAGATTGATCCTACTAGCCTTGAAGTTATAAGGGGGAAAGAATCCACAGCATTTTCATTACAGCACCTCTGAAATTTCCAGTGGCAGAGTCTGATCGTTTTTGGGACTCTTTTGTGTAAGGATTTTCTGTCTGTACAGAAGGCACTGACCATAGGCTAGTAACTGAGATTCATTCAAAACCAGAACCAAAAGCTTCAGTATATAATGTGTGAAAGTGGGCTGCTGACGAGACTTGGAACCACCCAGATTTAGGCAAAGTAATGAGGGTGTGATCCCCAAACCACCTCATTCTGTAGTGAAAGGAAAATCTACGAATGAGGAAATTGTTCCATTGGCATATTTTAAAGAATAGCGAAGAAAAATAGTCTTTAAGGAGCTAGAAATGGGAAGTCAAATAGTAAGAATTGGACATTCTAACCAAGCCTTAGCCAAGGAAAAGAGAAGAACTGAATCTGGCCCAAAAGGATCTTGTGTGCTGCAAGGTTAGGTTATCAAGGTTGGCATCAGCTCAAAGAAAATGTTCCCAGGTGCACCTTATGGTGTGAGCAAAAGGAGGGGCAGCACGGTGATGTATGGGTCTGTCCTCAAAAGCACGAGGGCTTTGACTAAAGAGGCAAAATCAAAATTCCCACCTTATGGGGTGGGACGTAGCCCCAAGCCATGCAGCACCCCCAGTATCACCCCACTTCTGCAAGCCATTCTGGGCTCCTTTCCAGGGTTCCCCCAGCATGGCGAACAGCAACACAAGCAATGTGGAGATGAATTTTTTTTAAAGTAGCACACAATCACATATTATTAAAATCTTTATTAAGGAACACAAGTCCCTGTGAAGTACAAAGACTATCACAATAAAACCATTCTAGGGATATAAAATTAAAATCATCTTACTTTAAAAAGTGTTGGTACTACCCTTAATTAATTCAATAATCTGAATAAACATTTCAAAATGTGTATTTTAGTTTTTGACTACAATTTCTATAATAGTTCAAATGCTCTGTTATGAAAAGCTCTCTTGTTTTTCTTTCATTTCAAAACAAGCCTAAAAGTCAAGTTAATTTTTTAAACACCTTTCTTAGATATCAAGCTAACATCTACAAATGCCCATCGTTAAACCATTTTAAGATGAAGGCAAATAGTTTGAGATCTTTGTAAGGTAAGTGCTTTCTTAGATTATACAGTAAATTCTCTTTAGAGTGGATTTTTCACTTACTAGTTTGCAGAGATTTACCTGTAATTACAGTAGTGACACACGCGCTTATCAGGTTACACCAGTTCAAGATGTTCCTTAGATAAAATGTTTCTCAAATTACAATTTTAACTAAATTATTTTTAAAAGTGTACTCACTTAATGTGAACCATGTTTCTTTCAATTGAAAGTACATGTTTATATCAGTCTGAATCCCAATGTCATATAGAGATAATGAAGACTTCGGGTTTCTCTGAAGCTTGTTATATTGCTGGTAACAGTACAATATTCCTTGAAAAGAAAAATAGAGTAATATAAAACATTTTCTGAAATAGAAGCTACATGCTTATTACACAGAGTATAAGAAACAGATCTGCACGGTTATTTCCACAAGGGGAAGAGTCGCATTATCATAGCAACTATCTTATTTTGGGTTGAACATCCTACACATGTATCTGACTTTTGGTATTTAGCTATCACACTGTAAGTGTACCTGAAACAATCTTAATAACCATTAGTGGGGACAGGCTAAACAAATTATAGTACACTTGTTCAGTAGAAAAAAGTACTGAAATTTCCCCTCTGGGATAGACTTATTCAGCAGCAATTTGTTACTTATAAGCTTGCTTATTTCTCCCTATAATTCTGTGAACATTGAGGCAATTTTTAACAAGTACACACACTTTTACAGTTGGGATGGTTTTGCTGAGCTGAACCTTTTCTATTGCTAATACTTTCTGCTTTAAAATCTATTGTGCCTGGTTATTAGGGCTTGTACAGCTCTCTTTGTTTAATGAGTGCTAGCTTTTTAAACTATTTTTTATTCATTTTAGGCAGGAAACACTTTTTATTCAAAACCCATCAGAGAATGGACAATTTGGGTCTGTGACAAAGCATTTATGTTTTAAAGCAAAGGTCAGTAATTGAATGAGAGCATAACCTGCTACATATGAATTAACTGATCAGACCACAACTTTTCAATGTTTTAAAACAGAATAAGCTTCCCTGTAAAAGCAGCACCTTTGTGACATTTTTAGTATTCCTCTCCTTCCTCACCCTCTCCTTCCACAGAATCCATACCAACCTCTTCATAATCCTTTTCAAGGGCAGCCATATCCTCCCGGGCCTCAGAAAACTCTCCTTCCTCCATCCCCTCACCCATGTACCAGTTCACAAAGGCAAGCTTGGTGTACATCAGATCAAACTTGTAGTCCAGGCGAGCCCAGGCCTTGGTGATCGCTGTGGTATTGCTCAGCATGTACATAGCCTGCTGTACCTAAGCCAGGTCTCCACCAGGCACCACAGTGGGAAGCTGGTAATTAATGCCCACCTTGAAGCCAGTGGGACGCCAGTCCACAAACTGGATGGTATGCTTTGTCTTGATGGTGGCAATGGCAGCATTGACATCTTTGGGGACCACATCACCACAACCGGCAGCAAGCCATGTATTCACCGTGACTAGGGTCACAGTTCACTATCTGGTTGGCTGGCTCAAAGCAGGCATTGGTGATCTCTGCTATAGAAAGCTGTTCATGGTAGGCTTTCTCAGCAGAGATGACAGCGGCATACGTGGCCAGAGGGAAGTGGATACAGGGATAGGGCACCAGGTTGGTCTGGAATCCTGTCAGATCCATATTCAGGGCTCCATCAAATCTGAGGGAAGCAGTAATGGAAGACACTATTTGACCTATCAACCTATTCAGGTTAGTGTAGGTGGGGAGCTCAATGTTAAGGTTTCTGTGACAGATGTCATAGATGGCCTCATTGTGTACCATTAAGGCACAATCAGAGTGCTGCAGGGTGGTGTGGCTGGTGAGGATGGAGTTGTAGGGCTCTACTACAGCTGTGGAGACATCTCCCCGACCCCTTAATTTACATTTAATGTACTGTGTGTTTGTATTTATTTCCCTTTTTTTTGCCTTTCTTATTCTGCTATCTACCTGGCTTTGTTTTCAACTCTTCTGGGGATTCATCAGTGCTTGGTGACATACCTTCATTTTTTTTTTTTCTTTTGGTTTGGCGCTGTCTACTCTTTCATAATTACCTCAGAAAATGTGCTACGTGCTTAACAGTCAAGTTTAAAGCTCAGTGTCTGCCTAAGGAAACACAGGAACTTCACTCACAGTCATCTCAGTATGTTTACTGTTCAACATTCTAGTCACCTGTATTTTGATGTAAATGTTGGATAATAGTTATTGTTACCCGATAAAGGCAGTGTTTGTTTCCCTTTCCGTGAGCGTTCATCGGCTCCTTCTCCCTGCCCGGTAGCCTCTCTCATACCATCCATCCTTTCTGGAATAGCTCCGCCCCTCTCTTCTCCACAACGCCATCCAACCCCCATCCAACCCGCGAGGAGATGAAGCTGCTCACATCTAGGGCCCTCGCGGCCCTCCTCCTTCCCACCACCGTGTTCTCTGCGCCCTGCCTTTGCCTGCCAATTGCTGCTGACACCCTCTCCAGGGTCTCTTCAAGCCCACCCTCGCCTCACGGCAGTCCTGTCAACACGGGAAGCGATGTATCAACGGTGTGCATCTCTCCTCTGCTTCGAACCCCACAGTGCTCCCTCACACTCAGAGAGGCAGGCCAGGGCCGGAGCCTGCAGAGCCGCCCGCCTTCCAGCTGAGCTCTCTCCTCCTGGCGCCCGCCTGTCCGGCACGCTGCCCACAGCCTCCTCCAGGCCTTTGCTCCAGCGGCACACAACGTCCGTCCACACTGTGCCCATGCATCCCCTCACTGGAGAACTGCATCACGCCCTCCAAGGTGCTGCTCAGGTTTCCTCTCAGAAGGCCTACCCTGGGGCTGGGGACATTGCTCAGGTGAGGGTGCCCGCTAAGCACTGCACCAGGCCCCAGGTTCGATCCCCAGCACTGCAAGAAAGAAAGAGAGATGGAGAGAGGAGAGAGAGGGAAAGGAAGAAAAAGGGGAAGGAGGAAGGGGAGGAAAGGAGAAGAGGGGGACGGGAAGAGAAGAGGTAGGGGAGGAGGGGGGAGGAGGAAGGGAAGGGGAGAGGGAAGGGGAGGAGAAGGGAAGCAGAGGGGAATAGGAGGGGAGGGGAGCAGAAGAGGAGAAGGGGGAGGAGAGGAGGGGGAGGGGAAGAGAAGAGGGGCAAAGGAGGAGGGGGAAAGAGAAAGGGAAGGGGAGAAGGAAGGGGAGGAGGAGGGGAAGCGCAAGGGAAGAGGAGGGGGAGGGAAGGAGACGAGGAGAAAGGGGAGGAGAGGAGGGGGTGGGGAAGAGAAGAGGGGCAGGGGAGGAGTGGGGAAGAGGAAGGGAATGGAAGGGGAGAGGGAAAGGGAGAGGGGAGGGGAGGAGGAGGGGAAGCAGAGGGGAAGAGGAGGCGAGAGGAGGAGGAGGGAAAGGGCGAGAGGCAGAGGAGGTGGGAGCAGAGGCCATCCATCCTGACAATAACATAGTTTTTACATTTTTACTCCCTGACCTAGCATGGCAGTCTTAAGTTTGCAGACCAAAAATTAGTCTTGCAGGCTGTTGCAAGGACAGCCAACGTTGTGGCCCTAGCCTTTCAAGGTCAGTGAGGACTCAGGACACAGGAGAACCTGTACTATAGCATCCTGCATCTCAGCTGTGTCCCAAATGTACTGATCAAGGAGACAGTGGGGCCAGAGAGGACAGAGAGTGTGCCGAAGGCAGTCTTCATCCTCCTTTCCGCGCTGCTGCACCGCAGCAACTGTTCCTGCTCCCCGGGATGCAACCTGGTAAGCTTGGAGGGTCGGAGAGTAAGAGGTTTTGTGCGCTCACGGCTCTCCGCCGAGTGCAGTACTATGCCTGCGTGCAGTTTACGCAGCAACTGACACTTGCTGAATGAGCATAAGAATGTGTCACTGGGTATGGATTTGTCTGTCCTTTCCTTGGTAGAATTAGAGCTTTCAGTATCTACAGATCCATATAGTCATTAGTTTCACAAAATTTTCAGCCAATAATTTTACAATATTTTCGGTAAGCATTAATTATTCTTGATCTACTCTAGTCTAAGCACGCAATCAAATTTCTGCTCTCTTGTCTCATTCTGCTGGGTTTTAAGTACTTACTTGAGATTCATTTCCCAGTTCATTAATTCTCAATTTTTCTGTTTAATTGATCAATTTAATGTTTAATCTAACAATTATTTAACTTTTTAAAGTCCTATTTGGTTCATCACCATATATACAGAATGTGATCAAAATGTACAGTGAATATTTAAATTAAAAATTTACTACAATAAAAGACCCATTGCCGTTAATCCCCGCCTTGCTTTGAACATCCTCATCCCATCGCTCCTACCACTTTCTGGAAGTCTTCTTTATGTCTGTAGGAGGCATAATGAAAAAGTACGGGGGATCCTGCTGCTGGCCACGTGACAGGAAGGCAGACTTGTACAGACATCGTGTCCTCATCCACCTATGACATAGATCTGGCACCACACAAAGTGACCGTGAAGGGTAAGGTTTAGAATTAATTTAGGGTAATAAAGCAGCCATGACAATGGAACAAAGACTCGAAAGAAGACTTCGAGAAGACTTTCAGACAATGTCAGGAAAGATAGGATAAATGTGCATAAAGTGTGTGTGTGTGTGTGTGTATATGTGTATATTTTGAAGATTAATGGCAAGGAGTATTTGCTTAAAATAATTTTTTGATGATTCTTAAAAAATATATTTATTACAGGGTCTACAAGTTCTCACCATGCAGATTGAACTGGTAGTGGTCCTCCTGTTTTCAGCTTCCTGGGTGCTGGGATTACAGGCACACGCCACCACACCCAGTCTCAATCACTGTCTCAGTGTGCTCCGGGAGTGGGGCTAGCACGGCATGTCAGGAATCAAACCCCAGACCCTGTCTAAGCAGTCACTTTAATCCACTGAGCTATCTGGCTGGCCCCAATAATTTTTTAAAAAATGTAAGCATTCACTAATTTTTCTATCACATGGCATACACCGGGATTTTGCTGATCTGTTTTTATGATTCTAAGTTCAATTCTTTAAACATTTTGCACAAAGCAATTTCATGTTCTGTGTGCATTCATTCTCACGCTCGATGTGGATAGCTTCTGGTGCTACGCCCACAAGACGGTGTGCTTGCTGATTTCCTATTGCGTGGACCGTCATCCGGGGAAACCTGATGACCCGCACTGAAGCACATTCATCAGGGGGCTTTGCGTTTGTTGCTGTGGGCACCCGAAGGGTGCTAATAGACTGGGGCCACCTCCCACATGCTGCGGGATCCCTGCCTGGCTGGGGACACTCGTGGACCTCTGCCCTCCCTGGCTCAGGCTTCAGCCCTGTCTCCAGCACTCCTCGCTGAGCTCAGCACTTCCTCTGTGATGCCTGCTCAGTCCCCCCTTGGATTTTAGCCCCTGAGTTAGAGAACCATAAAAATAAGAAGTTATCAAATACCCACACAGACAGTATGATTGGTACGTAAAGCAATAGAGAAGTTTTTTTGTGGGTGACAATTCCTTTTCTTCCTGCAAGCTCAGTGCTGCAGCTTGGCTGATGAATGCCTCCTCCGAAGGGTCGAGGTTCATGTGTTAAAGGCGAGGACCCTAGGCTGGCACTGCTGGAGAGTGGTGAAATCGTTACAAAGAATGGGCCAACAGGCAGTCTTCACTAGAGCAGGGAGCTGCGGGAGGGCTGTGGGATCCCAGGTCGTGCCCTCTTTCTCTTCCACTCTACGTCTTATGATGCGGGCACTTCGGTCCACCAGGCATTCTTGCCATGATGTGTTTGCCTCATCAGGTGACCAAAGCAATACCTACCAGTCCCCACAGTGGACTGGAAGCTCAACCTTGAGCAAAAGGAAAACTTTTCTCTTTTTAAGTTAATGATCCCAGACATTTTGCTATAATAACCAGAAGCTAATTCATTCATCAAAAAGCTCATTACATAAAAACATAACTTCTACTCCATCACTTCATAACATGAGGGTTCTAAGCTGTGCTTTCTAATTTCCTTTTCTCTTACCTTGTGTCTCCTGTTCTAGATATTTGTTTTCCATTATGTATTTGGTACAGGGTCTCACTACGCAGCTCAGACTCATAGTGATCCTCCTGTTCTCAGCCTCCCCAGCGCTGGGATTACAGGCGTGCACCACCACATCCGCCAGTTCAGTGCACCCCAGGGGCAGGGCCAGCCAGGGATGTGGGGTCAGGGCAGTGCAGCATGCAGGACCAGGGATCGAACTCTGGTCCCTGCACTTGCCAAAGCAGACACTTAGTCCCCTGAGCTGTCTCACTGGCCCTTGGTCTAGATATTTTTCGCACCGTCAACATGAGGAGCCTGGAGTTACTTCTCTTCCCAGCCCCAAGCCCACGCACCCACTAACTGGCTCTGCTCAGTTAGAACGATGCCATTGGTGTACATGGGCCCTTGGCCACCAGCAGCCCACATATTTTCTGCTTACTATGACACATTCACATTCTGTTATGCCCTAGTGAACAGGCTGTTGTAGGAAACGGTAAGTTTCCTGTTATATGTGGAAAGCCAGTTGTCCAAGATGCACACTGAGGTCGGATGCATTTATTGTTTTAATTAATTTGTTTGTTTTGTATTGGGGATTGAACTCAGGAACTTACATTTTCCAGGCAGGAACTTATGCCACTGAGCTATCTCCTGGGCCCCATTTCTTCTTTTTATATTCCTATAATTAGGACAGGGTCTATGGGATCTACAGGGTCTCACTATGTAGATCAGACTTGAAGTGATTCTCCTGTGTTCAGCCTCCCAAATGCTGGGATTACAGGTGTGCGCCACCACGCCCAGTCTCAACTGCCATCTCAGCAAGCCCTGGGGGCGGGGGTTGGCATGGCAGGCCAGGGACCCATTTATTCTTCTTTCCTTTTCTTTGGAGTACCAGGGATTGAACTCAGCATCCTATGCTTGCCAGGCAGACACTTATTCTACTGAGCTATCTCCCCCGCCCTATTTATTCTTATTTACTTATAATTTCCAATCTGACTGAACATTTCCTCACTGTAAACAGCGTCACACTGAGTTCCTACATGATTAATTGCTGGGTTAGCCCTACTTAGGGAGTCAACAGGGAGCGAACATTGACTGCTTTATGTACACATTTTATACACTGCTCATTGTTCTCACGTGACCATTATTTAAGCAGCACCACAGCCAAGCTCAGATCTCCTCTGCCTCTTAAGGTACCTCAGGGGGGTCAACAGCAGGCTACCGCCCTTCCCTTCTTGGTGACAAGGAAAGAGAACCACATGCCTCAACTCTCCAGTGTAAATGGCATGGCTTGCTTAGAGCTCCAAGTTAAAACACTAAAACTTTTAAATAAAAGCTCTGTGTGGAGTTTGAGTTGGTTTGGGGATGGCAGTTCTCCTCCAAGGTGACCCACCCCTGAGTGGGGACCTGCCTTGTGGTTGTGAGGAAGCCCGGGTGAGATTCAGACACAGCTGGCCAGCAGGGGCAGCTAAGGCAAACCTGAAGAGGCCTGAACGCCTTCTGGAAGTGCTCAAAGAGAAAGAGGAGGAGAACAACAATGGCTCAATAATTACTGATTCTTTACTGTCTTCCAAGCACCCATGGGTGCCCAAGTACAAGCATTTCCTCATTTAGCACTCCAATCTCCTGAGGGTGAGACACTGTTATTGTGCCAATGTCATGTCTTACAGCCATTAAGAAACTTTTCCAGGGTTACTCCATTACCTGCTGGGGACCAGGCTAGAGCCCAGGCTAACTGCGGAAACTGGAGTTCCAGCTGCACTCTGATATTCAAGAGACCTAATGCTCTCTTTTGAGGGACAGAAAAAGGAGGCTGGTGTTTTGGGTGTCTGTTATCATAAAATTATGTTGCCAATTCAAAGAGCATTATGGGGGATATTATTCTTTTGAATAGAATCCTCAGACATTTCTGTATTAGCCCACTTGTTGCTTTTTAAGAAGACAGAAAGAAATTGCCATGAATAGAATCTCATCCTAAGGGACACACTTTAATCCCTTCATTTTGAGTTCACATTGTACGTGATCTGTACCCTTCAGAAGGATTGAGTTAGGGTTGGATTTCAACCTTGAAATACTCTCCAGCCAACAATTGTAATTCAGAATACTTGCCTCTAGAGGGTGATAGCTCATTACAAAGCATCAATTATTAAACTGTGTGACAGCGGCAGGATTAAAAGTACAAAGTTGAAGGGGGAAAATGGATCACATTACTATGAACATGTAGATGCAGTCTCTGATCAGATGTAAAAGTAGGAAGGAATTGTCTGAAATATTTTTCACTAATCTGAAAGGGATTCTTTCAATAATTTGTAATAAGCATGGGAAGTGAGACCAAAGGTTAGGGGGAGAAAAAGTAATATCCTGATAGTACTATTTTCCAAGGTAATACAGGAAAAAAATTACAGAAACAATGCATTTAAAATTAAACAATTTTGTAAGCTTAAAGACTGGGGGAGAAATAATTAAGTTCAAAGCTAGTAAATGGGTTTTGGCAATTGGTAGTAAGAGTGGGAAAATAGGGGATTTTTCTGATACTTGGAAGGTGTAAGAGGGTGACACCTACCGTATCCTATAACGTGGAGCACACCGAACATGAAGAGCCAGAAGAGGCATCCGGCTATGAACCTCAGGAGTATCAAAAATGTCCAACTAAGGACCATGGCAATAGTCAGGCCACTGGAGGAAAAACCCACAACACAAGGGAGTCAGGTGCATTAGACATGACGTAGTATGAACATTAAACAAAGCTATTTTCTATCCAAAATGATTCTTAGATTATTTTACTTTCTTTGGTTAACTAAGTTTCTATTAAACAAAGAAATATAATCAATAATTTTTCTTAAGACTTCGAACAAGAGTAGGACCATTCAAGGCTTTCACATGAGATATTTCTGTGTGCCGTAGTAAACTGAAATACACAATCCATCACCGTCCAAGGAAAAATAGAGTTACTCCAAACTACAATTCTGACCTCTCTGCCGTACTTTTCACGTCTAATTTTTCTCCTTCATACCTACATACTGGTTGATAAATTACAAAATATATACCCAGGATGAACTTGGGCTGCTCTCTCTACCTGATGACTAACTTCAGGGTGGTTTAGAAAGGAAAGCAAAAAGACAAGAAAAGAGAAACTGGTTACCTGGACTCTAAAATCAGGATTTTCTAAATGTTATCACTACAGTTGAGTTATCCTCAGTAGTCTGCAGTGCCTGACACCACCAAACATCTATTTTCGGTACCCGGTGATCTGTGGGCCATGTTCTGGAGCAATTGTAAGGCTTCTGTGTCTCCTGGTCATGAGCTGGTCATCAGGCAACCAATAGTCTGCCTAGGCTTTGTTTCAATATCTGCCTAGAGTCTGACAGGCCTGCTAGGAAAGCTTCTTTCCCCCATATACTCAGGGCAAGGCCAGAACCCAGCCTTCTGATAGGCTTTCCTCGAGGAGAGCTCAGTAGGGTTGCAAGCTTGGCTCATTATTTTATTTGGCTCTGATGCCCCTGTTGCTATCTGCACATTTCTAATCATAGCCAGTCAGGCAGTCTGGTACATGCATTGAGTTTATAGTCTTAAGTGTTCTCTTTAAAAAAAAAATCTTAATCATTATTGTCACTGGATCAACGCCAGTATGGTATCAAAGTGCCTTCTCTACTCAAAGACTTACTGTCTATGTTTTAACTTCAAAAGCCATTCTTTCTTAAAATCAAAGCTACTTTAATGCTTGAATACTCAGTAAGATAGAAGAGCCATGTAATGGCACAGAACAAGGGGAATATTTTAAAAGGTTGGTTTGGGAGAAGAAAGTTGGTTGTGTGTATTTCATGAGAATAACTGCAAAGAATGATAACTGCATAAACTAAATCCCAGAATATTTGCACTTTGAATATATTTACAAAGTAGATGACAGTAGAGGAGGCAAACATAAAGGAAAGTACTGCTGTTCTGGAAGCACCAGCTGTGCCTGTCAAATTTCACTGTGTAAGTGAGGTGGGTGGGAGAGTCTCATAATGCACATTTGTTCAGGTAAGAACTGAGAGGCCGAAAGAGCAGACTGGACACATGAAAATTCACAGAGGAATTATCAGTGACAGTTGGGTTTGACACTAGGAAAACCAGCTCAACTACTGCTAAGGACAAACTTCATTCTTTGCCTTGGACATATGTTCTACAACATGCTGAAAATAATTGTTGGAGCTGTTTAATACAAAGCATCAAAACAAGGAGAATCTCACAAAATGCTTTTAGTTTCACAACTCCAGGTTACTGCCTAGTATTTCAGACACAATGTATAATTTATTAAGCCCTATGAAGTTCAATATATTGTTTCTATCTTCTTTAAGCCTCACTTTTGCTGCGTATATACTGTGTCCCAAACACTATACCAAGAGCTAGGAAGATAAAGAGGAGTCAATTATAGTTGTCATCACAAAAAGCTGACAAGTTTCTTGGAGGAAAGCTGTTAAATAGAATACAGAATGGTAGGTGCATTGTGAAAGGTATGTTTGTATATTTGGAGGCTTTGTGACACTAAGCAGCTTTTAATCATTAAACCATCCAGCATTCACCCCAAAATATTCCACAAAAGAGAAAAAGTGTGCAATAACCTGAAGTTTAATGGTCAGATGGGCACACCATTTGATATATTAAGACTAGAGAGTTAGTCAAGAAACATCAATAGAGCTGCCCCTGAGAAACTAAGCTGGATCTACTTACAAAGGTCCTTGGGAGTGCCTAAAGAAGTGTCAGCTTATTCTGTGATCATTACGGAGTCACAGAAGCTCTAGAAAATGGCATTAGAGTCACATAGCATGACAGCTTAAGGTATGTGAAACACATTCACCTCCTTCACTAGAGTGACTACATCTCTTTAACATTTCAGCATTATAAATCCTATGCCTGAAAATTAAAAATCTCCTCTATTCAGAGTTTCCTATATATATACTCTAATAGTCCACTGACATAACAAATGCCTAGAAGCTCATGGCCACCACTTTGTGCCCCTCTTGTAATTGCAGAGGTCAAAGGCAACTTGTATTAATCTCATGATGTCTCAATAAATTTAGTATTAAAATATTTGGAAGGCTGGTGAGATAGCTCAGCAGACTGAGCGCCTGCTTAGGCAAGCACAGGGAGTGGGGTTCGATCGCTGGCACCACATGCAGCACCAGCCCTGCCCCCAGGCGTGCTTAGCTGGCCACTGAGACAAGGCATGGTGGTGCATGCCTGCAATCCCAGCACTAGGGAGGCTGAGACCCTGTACCAAATAAATAAAGAATAAATAAATAAATATGAAATTACATTTTTCTTTTCCTGATGTATACATTTTTTGGTGGATTTTATTTCTACAGCTTCTCATAAGTATGCTAACCTTTGATAATGATGACAGTGATGACAATTACGTGGGTATATTAGAAGACAGGAATGATACTTTGGAGGTCAGGGGAGGAAAAATGTGAAAAAAAAAAAAAACCCAGAAAAATAACAACATTGAAATGTGAACACCACACAAGTACCACAAATACAAAAGTACTGCAGACACTGCTGCAGGTGACTTGAAATATGTATGTACTGTCATTAATAATTTAACAAATAAAATTAAAATGTATGTTTTGATAACTTCTTGCTAACACCGGGTATGTTTCTAAATATCTTTGTCCCATCTGCATCCTATTTGAAAAAGGAAGTGGCACTAATTGACATTTGACTCAATATTTTATCCAGGAATAAGAACAAGAAATTTGAGGAAAGATTCTACAGAACTAAAATCAGAACGAGGCTGGAAAAGAAGCCCTGCTGCATTTTCACTTACATAATGATCCAGTACCAAGTTGTTGCGTAGTCCTCGAACACTTTCAGCGTGATATCTCTTGCATCAAGGATCTTATTGATAGCACTGGGTGCAAAAAAGAAAGTTAATTGTTTCTTGACTAACATTACACACAAAGGCGCCTGTCATAAAGGCAATCTGCTAGCTGCCGTTCGCAGAACCCTCTTAGGAACCACGTATCGGCAGCTCCTGACCTTAGTCATGACACATGAGAAGTCACTGCACTGAACCTGCAGAGGTGAGTTGTGGACCGGGAAAGCTGGCTAAGCTCACAAGGGCGCCACAGTGCTATACACACCCAGAGAGTGTGGCTCCCAAGACCCGGGCACAGAGTCTTTTCCAGAGTATGCAGCATGCCTCAATATTGCAGAAGTCCCGCTGTGAGGAGTGCATTAGATGATAAGATCAGCTTTTAATTCACAAAATCCACGGAGGTGACAAAGAAGATCATCCTGAATTCCCCTTCGCCTTCCTCTGCCAGCACTGTGGTCACAGGGCATGGCGGGGTGCATACAGCAATGTGTGTACACAGTCAGTGTCCAATTTGAGGAGTTATCAGTGTGAACGCACTCGCACAAGCATTAAGGTCAGCCTTTCCTCGTGTGCCCTCCTCCCCTGAAGTAATCACTTTACTATTTGGACTTCTGTGATAACGCTTCCTAAGTTTTCTTTCAGTTTTAGCATTTATCTGTGCAGCACAGGGCAATTTAATTTAGTTCTGCTGCTTTTTTCATTAATTATGCACGGACCTATGATTATGATTATGATTATGATTATCTGGTGCAGAGAATTGAACTCACGACCTCAAGCTTGCCAGGCAGGTGTTGTGCCGCTGAGCTATATCGCTGGCCCATAAACCTTTTATTATTATTTACTATTTCTTTCACACAGCTTCACAGTCCTAAATTCATCTCTGCTGCTTATATTCCAAAGGCATAAGAGCTGTGCTATACCACTTGTAGTACTAACATCTTTTAAGAAAGATATTTTAGCAGATTGTCAGTTGTTTTTAACTCAACAACTGAGCTACGCAATGGTACTCTGTACATCTGTGTTTGCACCTGTGTACACACAAACCTGCATCCAGAGAAATATTTCTCAATAATGTGCACAGACAAAAGAAACAGTAAATGTACTGAATGACAGTTAGTGTATAGAAATTTACTATGGCACCAACAGTCTTCTTTGTTGCATTTCTATTTCTATTGATAAGACTGAACCATTCTTGAAAAATCATTGCTCTAACTCATTCTGGCTTCTTTTCCACACACTGTCCTTCTTTACACACTGGCAAGGTATCCAATTGAAGAAATGTATATTTTATGATAACACAAGTCTTTTCCTAAAACCCCAAGCTTTAACATCAGGTACAGTAACAGGATACATGCAAACTAAAAATAGAAATGTAAGCCGACATACTTTACGGCCTCCTTGAGTTCCAAAACATTTCGTACCCTTCCACTTCCATCTTCAAACTGCACCTTATTTCCTACTGTTAAAGTGCCATTTGTGCTCGTGAAGTCAGGGAAACATCTCTGGAAAACTGCAAAGATAAATTGAAATTATACTAACTGTTTTTCTACCTCTTTCACGATGTCCTCCTTTCTTACACTTTCTGTTACTTATAATCAAATTCTTTGAAGGTGTATGTAAGTTGCTCAGTAAGATAGCTTACTGCCTTTCAGTGGCTGATTTGAAGATTTTCTGATAGCTCTCAGACTTAAATAGAAAGCAAATATAATCAAAACCAGAAGCTTCATTCCAAATCTGTTGATTATTTTATACATGATATATTCCTCAATTGCTACAAATAAGAAGCAGATCATAGGTGTTTACTCATGGTAAACATAAAAATAGCAGGGCCACACTCACTTGTATAACTGGATAAGCTTAGATTTATTATTTTAAATTTTTTTGATAATCCCTGAGACTAGAGAGTAGTAAATAGTTTCCTGGATTAAGAACCAGCTCAAAGTTTAAGTTACTAAGAGAACCAAATTTTTATTTGTGAATTCTCAATAATGTGTCTGTCTTCTAACATTTTCATTTACCTAGTTTTTGGAGTTATTATAGTTATTCTGCAGCTATGTAAGGCCACAAGTTCTAGACTAGTATAATTCCTAAGTAGAATCACTGTGCAATCTTCTATGTTCTTATTTTGAGGCCATAAAATCATTGTCTCTTTACAAATCTGCTACCTAAAATGTATTCAAGCCTCAGTCTTAAATGAAGAGGTGAGAAAAGTCAGAATCAGATCATTTTCATATTCTGTCTTAGAGAAGCACCACCAATTGCATCCAAGGCTTACACCTGCACATGTGAAATCAGAGAAAGAAGAAGGGCTGCGTGTCTCTACAAAGCTTTACCCGACTTTCCCGGGCCTGTGGTCCACCTACCTCCAGCTTCCGTAGCTCTCAGAGGCGGTTGTTTTCCATTCTCGACCTACCTATCTCCTGCACTCCCCTCCCCTGTGGGGGCTAAGCTAACACATCCACATCAACCACCTGCTTCTGCTCATCCTCAGGCCAGTCACACTTCTGCCCTCCCTGTGGACCCTGCCCTCTCAGAGACTCCAGGGAGCCTGTTTCACAAGATCTCACCATTTGGCATGCTTCTTAGCAGCAGTGCACTGAGAACCCAGCCAATATTTGCTACTGAATGAGTTAACATGTCTCACTCCTGGCCATATAGATATACCTTACCTTTGTGAAATTCTGTTTCCTTGGCTTATATGAATTCATATTCCCCACCCTCCTTTCTCTCTGCGAATTCTGTCCCCTTTTACTCTACTACATGTGAGTTTTCCCATCCAGAAGCACCCTTAATCTTGTTCCACATAATATTTCTGGGCAGTCTGATCCAACTGGTTAACTTTCACTACTTCGTACATTCACTAGAGATTTTAAAAGTAGAAAAAATACAAAAAAAGATATAAAACCAAACACTGTCCTACTATGAACAATGAACTATCTCAATAATTTTAAATTTTATTTTAAAGAGAATAGAAAAATAATAGATAACGTATTAGAAATTATACAAAATTAATTAATTAATTAATTAATTATTATTATTATTATTTTTTTCAGAACTGGGGATTGAACTCAGACCCTTGTGCTTTGCCAAGGAAGCACTCGTTCTACTGAGCCATCTCTCCGGCCCCACAAAATTTTAAAAAAGACAAATGTATTCAACAGTGGTTGTTATATTGCACACTGCTGTCTTCAGTGTAGTTGCTCAGATATAAGCAACTACAAAATTGCTCAAAAGTAAAAATCTTAAGCATTAACTGCTACCTTCAAAAACCTGATAGAAATTAGTAGTACCCAATAACATGCAATGTATTAATTATTATAACTGTCCCACTAACCTGTTTTGAAACTGTCTCATTGCTATTTCTTTCTCATTAAAATTAATTTTTAAAAAAGAAATTAGTAGTACCATCATCTTAGCTATCCTATGTACATACATGCCTGATGTTTCCCCCTCCCTTTTCCCCCATCTTTTCATTCTTTCCCTCATCCCAATTGTTTACTTCTGATGCTGTTTCTTTCTCTTTTACTATATATATTATACCTTAGAGATTTTCTATCTCAATATTTATTTATTTATTGTATTTTAGAGAAGGGTCTACAGAGTGTTCAGGGTCTTACTACTAGGTATGGACTTGTAGTGATCTGCCAGTTTACAGCCTCCCAAGAGCTGGGACTACAGGCAAAGCACCCAGTCTCAATTGCTGTCTCAGGATGGAACCCCAGCCCCTAAGCCTGCATTCAATGAGCTATTTGGCTGTCCCTTTCTATCTCAACTTTTTTTTTTTTTTTAAGAATCGGCAATTGAACTCAGACCCTTGTGCTTGCCAGGGAAGCGCTTATTCTGCTGAGCCATCTCCCCAGCCCCTCTATCTCAATATTTTGATGAATTTCCTTTCAATGTTTTTTCTACATATTTTCTTTTCTGCTGAGAGTTAAGATGGTACAAGACATACAGTATTTTCCTTTGTTATTTCTCTTTACATTTACTTCTTTCCTGTATAAAGTCTTTAATGAATGAATTTTATTAGATGGATACTACTGTACTAAGTACTATGCTTAGTTCTCAATGATGAAAAGCCGATTGCAATGTCTATCTCAGTGTTTCTCTCACTAGACTGTGAGGAACAGTGGTTTACATACGTTTTTACCTTGAAGTACATTTTGTGTGACAGATCACCTGAACCATGCTTGCTAGAGCAAGGACGATGCTTTCATACTTTCACATCTGTTACATCTTCCATAAATAACAATTTGCCTTTACCTTTTTGCATAAATATTTTAATATTGTTCTTAGCTAAGACATACAGTTGTTACCCAGGGCTTCCCAGTGAGTTGTAATTTCTAGGACCCAGATCTTTTCTTCTGGTCATTAATGACCCAGATGGGTGATAGGAGTGGCTGGGTCTTGTATTTGGCAGTACTTACTGAATGTAGTAGACATTCTGCTGAGGGCGATCTACATGACCTTTCTTTTGTTTTAAAAATGTATGTTCATTGTCAAAAAATGGAGAAAACAGAATAAACGAAGGAAAGAAAAGAAAATGACTATGGTTCTGCCATCCCCCAAATAGGTTTTTCATATTCAGTGTATTTCTATCCCACCTTTTCTTTGAGTAGTGTTTTTCACTTGATGCTATTGTTCTTTTGAGTTGTCACATGCTTATCCTTATTATGTACATAACGATTTGTCTTTTATTTAACCTTAAAACATATAAACGTGCAAGTTCTTATAATGCTTATTTAATCTTTCTAGACTATCTAATGATGACTACTTTGTAATTTGTAATTGTCCTTTTGTTTTTAGATGGTAGGCAATGTATCTTATTTTCTCTTCCTCTCTGCTTTTCTTTCTGTTTTAGTTCTTTCAGTTACCTTACTTAAATGAACACTATGATGGATATTTTACATCAAGCTTTTCTCTCTAGTTAGGATTACATCATTAAGAAAGGAAAATTTAATTAATTGATTAATTTTTCTAAAGGAGTGTCACTCTAACATTTTACATTTTAAAGAAATAAAACAGGGGCCAGGGAGATGGCTCAGTAGAAAAAGAGCTTCCCTGGCAAGCACAAGGACCTGAGTACAATTCCCAGTTCCGCAAAAATAAATAAATAAATAATAATAATAAAAAAAAACAAACAAAAAAGGAAATAAAAGAGTTTAATTCAGGAGATACACAAAATAACCCAAATGTCAAATGATAAACTCAGGCATATTTCTCACGCTCACTCCCTGGGAATTTCTGAAGAAAATTTGGACTGTATCGAGGAGTAGGAGTGAATGAATATGTCTGTGTGTACATTTAAGCATGCTTGCTCATCTCTGAATAGTCAATTTGACTGGCTTTGAAAAATCTACTTTCTCACTTCTTGGATGCTTATGTAGCAAAGCCCCAAAACTCGCAGAGCTGGAACAAAGCATCCCTGCCTGCAGTTGCCAGGATGGGCTTTGCTTTGAACTGTCCTAAATAACTCTGGGACCTTGGCTCAATCCTAGGACTATTTTTGGCCTCAGTTTTGCCCATTGGAAAATAAGGAACTTAATAACTTTTTGTTCAATTCTGTGCTTCTGAGGTAAAATAGTTACCACATACAAGGTTTGCTTGGAAAAAGTGCAGTAGGACAGTCGTCATCCATCAGGAGTTCGGGAAGAGACTGAAACAGAAGAAAGAGCACATTCATATTTCACAGACTACGCGAGGACCACTTTGATTCTTAGTATCCAACTCTTACTCTTTAAAAATCTAACTCCATAAATCTCATGATTCCACATAAAATTAGCACACACAGAATCTTGTTCAATAAACTTTTAAATGTTCAATTATAATTAAGCTGAATCAGCAATAATACAATCAGACCCTCTGAAACAAAGCTTACCTGTGAAGGTGCATATCTTCGACTAAGCTATATTTCGAGTCTCTAATCCATCACTTATTTTTCTGGAAAAACTGCATCTTCTCTAATGAAAAAGCCTTTATTTAATATTATTTAACAAAATGAAGCTTTAGAAATGTCTTCTAAGTCCCAAACCCAGGTAGGGTTACTTTTAATGAGTAATTATCAACTGAAGCTTACAAATAAATTTCTTGCTATTGGGTTCAACAGTATATCAATAAAATAGTGACTGAAAAAAATCCATCCAGGTACAGTAATAATTTAGGATAAAATTACCAGACTGAACAGCTTTTCATAACACTCGTCTACTCTGTAAATGATGCATATTTAAATGAGCAGAAACATGCATTGACATTCAAGGTAACAGTGGCTCAGTAATCACTTTCTTGATTTGAGAGCTTGTCCCCTAACAGAGGATCGTGGTACACATGTGACTAAATCAAAAGTTCAATCCTCCAGCCATCAGATTAAACACACCTTGGCGGGCTTAGCGGTCGCCTTGCAGAACTGACGGTAGTATTCCCAGTAGCTACTGTTCTTCTTGTACAAAATTTGCATTTCCACATAGGTTAAAAATTTTTCTGGGCACTTGGAGACACAGATCTATTAAAGAAATGAGTATGATGATAGAAATTGAGTTGAGAGCAGAGCAAGGAAATATCTATATGATTAGGCTTTTAAAATTGTCCATCAGAATAAAGAGCAAAACTATATTCTGCATCTGAGAAACTTAAATCAATTTTCTAGTATTATTGTAAAAGATTAAATTTCAAGTACAGTTACCAACATCTACTTACTGCCTCCAATGTTGACACTGTGTTAAAACAAGATACTATAGTGATAATCTTATTTTAGCTTTTGATTTTGAGAGAACTGAGGTCCCATGTGTATCTGTAAGAAATAATGGAGATTCCAAGTACCTTTTACCTAGTCTTCCCCAGTGGTAATAATTTGCATAGCTACAACAAAATATTACAAGCAGGAAATTGATATTGTTACAGTCAATACACCTTGTTTACATTGCACCAGTTTCACATCCATTCATTCGGCGTTTGTGTGCACTTCAAGTGGGTGTATTTCTATACAATTTTATCACATGAGTGGACTCCAATGATCACTGTCACAGAACAATAATGAGCTTTTAATAAAACATTCTTTTATGACTTTGTGAATTAATAGATAAGAATGTAATTCATGACTAATTTTGTCTGTGTAGTTAATGTGTATTCAAGACTGAACTTTTGCTTCCTTTCCCATATATGAATAAAATAATGATAGTGTAACATGCTCTGAATATTGATAATTTATGCTACTTATATTTATTAGTGCCAGTGAATTCTCTACTGCAATTCTCAAAACATAATTAGGGTTTTGTTAGTATAAGAAATTATTTCATTTCTTAGGGGTACTTGACACAATCAATCATTACTATAGTCTTTTGCCAACACCCTCTAGACCTGGATGCACAGTCAGTTATTTTAAATGAATGTATCAGGCTCACAGTGCCAAACCTGAGCACTGTGCCCCTCCATGGAACCACCACAGAGTGACCACAACCCAATTCCATAGCAAGAAGGCAAGGTGGCTGCATGTTATTGGTTTTGCTTCTGTGTATAATAAAACAAAAGACATTCATAAGAAGTCAAGAGGGATGCAGTTGCATGTGTCTCCATCAGTATAGCTTCTCCATGTGAAATCCTCCTCCTCCCTGACACCCTTCATCCCCCTTCTGCACCTTGGTAATTATTCATGCTGCCTGAGCCCATAGGTGGTAGGCAGAACGAACTGCTGCTGAGCTGACTGCTCTTCTCCATCCTTGGGGTCCGGTTTCTGCCTTATCAGGACACTTGTTGTTTACCTCACAGTTGGGTCAGTCAGGTGATAACTAAATGGATGCCTCAAACCTCACAGTTAATATCGTTTGATGGCAGCACTAATCCAATGTCTTGTAGGTGTTTTGACACAATAAACAACCCATCTCCACGTTCACACCTCCATATGTGTTTCCCCCTTCTGGTTCCCACTCAGACATGCACACATGCACAATCTCACGCACACACTCACACTCTAGCGGAAATACTGACAGTCTCAAGGTAACAACCTAAAAAACTACATAGGGACATTCACAGTATTCAACATGTTCACAGACTTTGGAAGGAAGTTAGGGCTGCTGTCAATGCAAATGTCATTTGATAATTTCTCTGATTGGAGCTAAGCTGAATAAATCATTAACAGATTGGGAGATATGTGACAGACATTTAAGCATCTTAGAAGATGGTGAAAGATAGCTGAAGTAGCTTACCTGTTGGCTACATTTCAGTGAATTTATAAAGGTCAGTACTGAAAGAACCAATGCTTTCACAGGCTTGTCAGGATGGTAACAACCTCTGAGTGGGGACCATGGCAATTTCTTTTTCATTTTTCATTAGTACATGTTTGTAGTATGTAACAATTCTATTTATGGTGGGGAGTTGGTACATGTACATAACACTCTAATTTTTTTTGGTTCCCCACCCCTTTCTATCCCTTCTGTCTCCATCTATCTCTTTGGAACATGAGAATCTCTGGACTTACACACACACACACACACACACACACACACACACACTTCATATTACATATATAAAAGTAATCTGTACGCAACACAAACAATTAGAATGACAAAAGCAGTTTGTTAAAGAGAGTCACATCAAATTTCATTCCAGACACAAATGAGTTGCTAAAAAAAAATACAGCAACTGCTCTTTACTCTTTGCCTCTATCAGACCAATTTATTCACTGCAAATAGGATGCTGATTAGTAGCAATCAACATAAATTAGCCAAAAATGAAGGTCACATGGAGGTTGAGTACCCTAATTGATCACAGTCTGTCCTTTAAGTGCTCATGACACATGTCTGGACCATGCTGGGAGTTAACAAAAACATAATGCATTCATACAACATTGCCTGGTGGGCTAAATGCAAAGCTGAATTATATGCAACTAAAATATATCCTGACTCAATTCTGATTCTCTGTGTATCACAAAGGGCACCGAATACAGTTTTTGAAATCACTATGTTGCATCTTAGATTCAGATGGATTTAACACTCTAATACAAATTAGAATTTGATATCTGGGAGCTTGAGCTGCACTGAAGGTTAAAACACTATTTTTGCTATGAAGATGATCTATTGCAATCATTTGTGAAACACAATAACCACGATGTGCAAGACTTTCTATCTTATCACAGGAATGATAGATTTGATAGTAGAGTGGGAGAATTCCTTAACGAGAGTAGGAAGATATTCATTCACTCATTTATTAATTCATTAATTCCATAAGTGCTTACTGATCATCTATTCTGGGTGTTTTAGGCACTGGGGATTTAGTAGTGAATAAAAAGAAGCTTTATTCTCAAGGAGTTTGTCTTCTAGTGGGGGAGACAGATAACAAATAAAAGACAATCAAAATACTGGTATAAGATGGCACTAAATGCTAGAGAGAAAATAAGGTTAGGAAGCTGGGGAGTGAGGAGTGAGGCATTGGCTGGGTGAGATTTCAACCTGAAAGAAGTAGGTCTCACTAAGAAGGAAGCCTTTGCAGAAAGATATTAAGAGTAATGATGAAGATTAGTGGAGGAAGAGAAGAAGAGGAAGAACTGGAGGGCTCTGGAAAAAGGGAATAGCAAAGTCAGAGGCCCAGAGGCAGGAGCTTCCCTGGATCGTTTAACAAACAAGAGAGAATTCTTATGACCAGCTGTGGTGAGCAACAGGAGTGTCACATATCAGAGGGTTGGCCAGCCCATGAAGGATGTCACAGGCCACTGTTAGGACTTTGTCTTTTAATAAGAGTAACAGGAAGATATTAGGATATTTTAGCAAAGAGGATACTTAATCTTACCTATGTTTGACAAGATCCTATTGCCGCTGGTAGGAAAGAGATTAACAAATGGCAAAGCAAGGGAAGGACAGAGGCAGGAAGACCACACAGGAAGCCGCTGAGCAATCTAGAAAAGAGAGACTGGTTCCCTGAACAAGGGAAGCGATGGAGAGCAGTAGGTTTGTCTAGGACATATTTTCAAAGGAGAACAAAGAAATTAGTTCACAGTACGAGCATGGGTGTGTGTGACAGGCAACAAGATGTCCCCATCGAACTTGGTATTGGCAGTAAATGGCATAGAAAAAAACGCTCTAGGGACAAAGCCAGGGATTAGAAATTCAGTTCTGGACATGTTCAATTTGAGATGCCAACTACATACCCAAGTAGAGACACTACAAAGGTTTGAAGTTCAGGGAGCAGATTTATTTGGAGATATAAGTGAGAAGTAGCAGCATATAAAACGGTGTTAATCCCATGGTGAGATCATCAAAGGAGTCAGTGCAGACTTAGAAGAGCACTAAGCCCTATGGGGAAGAAGAGACCAAAGTTTAGAAGGTGTTGTTAGAAAGATGCACATATAGCTCAGTGGCACAAGCACCTACCTGGTAAGCAAGTACAAGGGCCTGAGCTTGATTCTTGATACCAAAAGAAAAAGAAAGATAAAGAGAAATTAGTGGAGTAGATTGATGGGGAACAACCTGAGTTGGGGGGAAATATGGGAGAATATTATACCTTGAAAGGCACTCAAAAAGGGTTGGTTGAATACTGCTTTCAGGTCAAGCAAACGTAGACTGAGAAATGACCATCAGCTTAATAGCGAGAACTACACTAGAAATGAAAGCCTGGGTAAGATACAGCAATATGGACAATCTTTGAGGAGCTTTTCAAAGAAAAGAAAAAACGGCCCAGAGAAATGCAGAATGAGGTGGAAGGGTTTGAGGAAAAGGGGAAAAGGCGTGAAACTGTTTTCTAGAAGAGTAGATTAGCAAATGGACAATGGATGTGCAGCATGGTAGTAGGATGACAGCATTAAGGACACTCTTGAGGCAAGGTCTTCAATTTAAAGGACTTGTGGCTTTTCTTTTATCACAAGAATATGCATCGGCTCAGGCATGGAGTAAGCAGAGAGCAACATGTAATATGCATGTCCTTTTGCCTGCAAGTACAACTCAGGAGAGAGGACAAAGGAACTGGGTGAGGCTTTAACATAGGATTGTGGCATCTAAGTCAGGCAATGAGGCAAGTAGCAACGTGAGAGAAATGAAGACAACTTTGAAGAGGTCAGGATCAGGGCTTTTCTCATTAAATGCTAGTGAAATAGAAGAATCACTACAGCTGGAATAGTAGAGATTGCAATGAGCAGACACTGCAAGGCTTGGAACTGAGATTACAGCGGCAGGTGGTTGCTGGCAATGACAAGGTTATTTTCATCATAGGTCACTGTGCAGAGGTGGTGATGGAACTAAGATATTGGCATAAGTAAAGTTTCAAGTCTTCAAGGAAGATGAAGAAACAAGGGAATAAATAGATCTACTAATTAGTTCTGGGAAAGTCTTTAGGTATGGTATTAGCACATGGAGTCAAGAAGCAAGTTGGTCAGAAAACTGATGAGCTTTAGCAGTCATCAAAAAATGCAAAAACAATAATAAAAATAAAAAAAAAAATAAATACCCTAAAAAGTACTTTATTGGTTAAAATAGTCTTTGAGGAACCAACCTTGCACAGCAGGAAGTGATGTGGAGCTCTTTGGCCAGCAGTGGGACCTATTTTGCATGCTCAGCCTGGTAGCTAATGGACAGGAAACAGCCTACAGGATGGCCTAAAAGAGGGCTGCAGGATGAATGCCTCAGAGAGTTCCTCTAAGAGAATGTAATCTGGGTCAATAAAGGAGTGTTCCTCATCCCCATGAACCAGAGAGTGCTGTGCATGTTTTTCTCTTCCCTTGCTGAATGAGCGAGTTATTCTAAGTTTTCTACCACTCCTTGCCATGCAGTTAATGCCCAAATCTGATGGGAGAACCATGCACCATGCACAGAACTGGGACTTTGAGTTAAAAACAAGTACTCTGTGGGACTCTGAGTGCTTTTGGAAGAAGAGTATGCTGCCGGCCAGAGGCGAGACCACAAAAGGCACAGCTAACTGTCCCCTGGGGTTTGTGTTGCTTGACTCATGGGAAGCAGCAGGTTCTCAGCTCGCAGGGCCCTCGCTTGGTGTCTTCCTTCTTGCATCTAGGGCTGATCAGACCTGTTTGATCTCTGTGGCTTAGGGCCAGCATCACCATGTGCAACTCTCCTAATCCAAGGCTTAACATTGATGTGTTATTTCTACTTGGTGCCTCCTTCTGGTGGCTGGGTGCAGATGACAAAGAGGACCAAAGAACTGATAGATAAAAGGAGCCAGGAAGCATGATTCATTGAACATAGACACCTGCCTTGTACTGTCATGTGGTCGAAACAAGCATTATTACATTAAGTCACTGAAAAATTGGAGCTATGTAGGAGCTAGCTTTACTTCCCCCAATACAGTATCAATGTTGAAAAAAATACATTTCTTTAGGCTTGCAATTATTTATTTATAAGAGTAGGTGCTTGGATAAAATAACTACTAGCTAAGGTTCCTTAGCAATTCTGAAATAATCCCTGCTTAGTTTCAATTGCATATAAACAAAGCCAGGATAATACTTGTGCCTTACCACCACACACACACAGGACTCAAATCACATTTCTGAATTATTTTCTCCCAAAATGTTCAGACCTACACCTGCCTCCAGGGAGGCATTTTTTTCCTTACCTGTGTGGTAGGGCACTGTAGGTTTATCATCACAGAAGGACTGGTGCATCTCAGCAGGTTAAAATAAAACAAAATAGTCTTGTTCCTGTTTAGAAAGCAAATTAAATCATCTTTTTAGTCACCATAGGAATATTTCAGGCCCCAAACATTTTTATGACCTTTAAAATTAGCTTAATTTTCTTCAGACTGCTACAATATATTGTCATACTCCTCTTTAGGCTATCTGACAATTAAGGCATCTTTTTTATAATTAGAAAAAATTGAACTAGTCAAATTGTCCACCAGTAAGGGGTTGGGTAAACACAAAATTAGGCTTTCATGAGTTGCAACTTCATATTATCATGGAAAATAATGCTGCAGAATATCTTTAATGGTTGGTTAGGAAATTAATACATTAATTTTAGGAAACCATTTACTAGAGAGTATTAAAATGTTTGATTGCAACTATACAAAAAAGGTATAAAAACTACATATGGAAAGAAAATATTATATCTAAATGTTAGGTTATTCACTGGGTATGGTGGTACACACCTGTAATTCCAGCACTTGGGAGGCTGAGGCAGAAGGATTGCTGCGAGTTTGAGACCAGCCTGGGCTACAAAGTGAGCTCAAGATCAGCCTGCATCCTGAGACCTTGTCTCAAAAAGACACACACACACACACACACACACACACACACACACACACACAAACACGTTGGGTTCTTTTTGTTTGTTTGTTTGTTTTGTGCCTTTATGGATTTCCTAAAATCAACATAGAATACTTTGATAAGTTACTGCTAAGATGTCTCTCAGGTAGGTGGATGTTCAAGAAGAAGGGGGTGGTGAATGAAAGCAAGACACAGGAAAAGGAATACTGTGGGACAGTCCTGCTTCAAGGTTGTATATGGTGAGATTTTTGGACTTATGTGCAAACATGAGAAGCATAGAATTCTT